TTATAACCTGGTTAAATATATAATATGCTTTTAATTGTACATGGAATGGTTATATCATGCCTATGTATTGTTATGACCAGGTTACTGCTTTCATTTGGAAATTAATCACAACATAAGATGATACAATTGTGTGTCATGTTGACGAGGGATGGACATGTGATAGCTATTCTTGGTTATAAACTTAACTGCATCTGGAACTAAAACCCAAATGGAAGGCACACCTTTAAGAGAACTTTGCTTAATTTAAAGTAGGAAGATCTACTTCTAATCTGGACCTTTGAAGCAGGAAGACAGACCTTTTTATCTGGATCTTGAGGAGGGAAGATCCACCTTTAATCTGGACCGCGCCTTCTGCTGAAAAGCTTATATAACGACATGGAAGAAGGAAGTTTTGCTCTGTGCCTGATTGTCCTTGCCTTGATAGCAAGTCCATTTCCTTCACTGGCATTAGATTTCAGAATGCACTAAAACCCAGCTGAGACATGCAGCCTTGTGAGCTGAGCACTTTCTGGATTCTTGGACTTTCCAATTCCAAAGGATAAACCATTGTTGGATTATCTGGACTGCAGCCTGTAAGTCATTCTAATGAATCCCCTTTTGATAGATAGATAGATAGATAGATAGATAGATAGATAGATAGATAGATGATAGATAGATAGATGATAGATAGATAGATAGATAGATAGATAGATAGATAGATAGATAGATAGCTCATTCCATAAATTCTGTCACTCTAGAGCAGTGCCTCTCAACCTTCCTAATGCTGAGAACTCTTTAATACAGTTGTGGTGACCACCACCCATAAAATTATTTTCATTGTTGTTTTATAGTAATTTTGCTACTCTTATGAATCACAGTGTAAATATTTTGGGAGATTGAGGTTTGCCAAAAGGGTTGCGTTCCACTGGTTGAAAACTGCTGTTCTAGAGAACTCTTATTTAAAATGACCACTCCTGAGCATATATCCAAAGGATGCTTCATCCAACCACAGAGACATTTGCTTAATCATGTGCATTATTGCTCTATTCCTAATCACCAGAAATTAGAAACAACATAGATGTTCCTCAACAGAAAACTGGACAAAAGCAAATGCTATTTATTCTTAAAAAAAAAAAAAGTTGCAAGAACCTACAGCCAGACATTATGCAGAGTGAGAAACCTGAAAATACTCAGCCCCAAATAAGTTGTCTACATCAAAGTCCTCCCCTCTAGCTTCAGGAAACCCTGTGGAAGATGAGGCAGAATGAACATAAGAACCAGAAGCTATAGAGGACACCTAGGAAACAACGCCCTCTAAAACTGCATGATGGATGCACATATGAACTCACAGAGACTGTGGCAACACGCAGAGGGTCTGTGCAGATCTGCACCATTTAGGGCCCTAGAGCTGGAAAGAGAAGTGGACACAAGGCACCATCTCAGCCCAGAAGCATCTCCAATTGATAACAACTTGCATGTCTCCTCCAAGGGAATCTCACTGGGGAAACAAACTAGGGTAGGCTGCCCGCCCAGATGGCCAACTGAAAATTAACTCAGTGGCATCTTTGGAGGTTCCTTGTCTTATAATGTCATGTCTTATATAATTTTATCTTACTTTTTCTATTTTATTTTTCTCTCCTTTTACCCCATAGTACTTTGCATACATATTATGCCTTCTAATTTAGTGTTTTTGTGAGATTCCTGAATGTGTGTAAATGAGTGGAAATCTCAGTTTCTTGTGCCTTCTCTTAGGTTTTTTTTCCTTCTGTTTTGTTCAAATACAATGTGTTAGTTTTTGGTTTAGCATTTTATTTTATTTTATTTTATTTTATCTTATCTTATCTTATCTTATCTTATCTTATCTTATTTTATTTTATTTTATTTTATTTGTATCCCATAGTAGCCTGTTTGTTCTCTAATGTGAAACAGAAGTACGGTGGGAGTGGATAGTTGGATGGTAAGGGATGTGGGGAGGATCTGGGAAGGCTACAGGGATACCATAATCAGGATGTTATATATAACGTGAGGGGAAAATCTATTTTCAATCAAGAAAAAAATGAAAGAAGGGAAAAACTTTCAATGACTTAAATATAAAAGAGTAAACCTAGAAGTTGAATGAATTCAACTCTGTCTGTGGAATGCCATGACAACCAAAATCATTCAAATTTCAGTAGGGCATGCAAATACCTCCATGATGTAGTGCTGTTGGTATCAGAGAAAATGTCAACAGACAACAAAAGCAAACTTTCACTAGCTTCTGCTAATGAATAGATGCTCTGGTCGAGCATCTGGCCTTGGTTTTTACATTCTTCTGGTTTCTCTTCCAGAGGTCTCTCTGTGTAGTAATACTTCATAACATGTCAACATGCTATACACATGGGTCACATGCAACGGTCAATGTGTCCTCATATGCCTCTGCAATTAAACTGTTAATTCAGTTCTGCCATAATAGAGAAATCTGCCTTAAAGTCAACACATCACACAGTGCATGCTGTGTGATCAGGAGTGTTAATCAGTTTTCTGAAGGGTGTTGTCAACTTCCATCCAGATTCCAGATAACTCAAGCTTCACTTTCAGCACCTGAATGACTTTATGACTGCTTATAAGTAATCATTACCTGGTATATTCCTTTTTCAAAAGACAGCAATTTGTGAGATACCTCACTGGATTGTAGAAGTAGGATGATTGTGAGTTCCAAATAAAGAAAATGGAAACTACATAAGCATATATATTATTTATGTATATATAATATAGTCTAGGGATATATATCCACCAAATAAAGAATAAAAAATATTCAGAAAAATAACTGCATTTCTACTTAGGCCTTATGCTTTTCTTGTTATTATTCTCTAAATAATATGGAGTTGCATTTATTTTACATTGTATCACATATTGTGAGTGATCTAAATATCATTTAAAATAACAAGCTATACATAGGTTGTATGTATGTTAAATACAATTTTTCACAAAGGAACTTGAGCAGGTGTGGGCTTTCATATCCTCAGGAGTCCTAGAACCAATCCCCTTGCAGATACCATGTGTACACAGGTAAGTACACATGTGCACTTAAAAGTAAAAATCAGACTATGGTGGTCTACTTGCTCTAACATATTTGATTAATAACACTTATGTATATCCACCTCATATTCATAATCAATATTTCATAAAGTTTGGAGCATTATAGTATCATACAATTAAATAAAAGGACAACTAACAATCTCGGGTTAAGACATAGATCTTTAAGTTGAATACACTTAGCAACTATAAAGCGAATCAAGCAGTGGTATTCTCTTCCTTCTGTACTGATCTCTGAAAATGCAGATAACTTCCCCAGCCCACTGATTTCTCTGGCTCTCCATCCCACTTTACACAAGATTTTTCTTCCTCTTTCCAAGAACTCTTCTGTCTTTTTTCAAGCCAAAACCTTGCCTTCTAAATACCATAGACACAAGCTAACGTTTTCACTCAGTTCTGCAGCATTTTCTAAGCACCTCAAGTCCAGGCTCGCTCCCCAGCTGTGCACTACTCCTTGGAGGAAAAACTGGGCAGCCTCCTGCTATTTCCCATGATCCCAGGTGACAAACAACTCAGTATCTGCTGCAGTGACCTAGAAAATGGTTGTGGCCATTGCCTTGAGCCAATACAGGAAGTCTTGAAATATTTCCCGAAAATTGGATTATGAGGGAACCTAAAACCAACAGAGGCTTGTTTGATTTCTCCAATGCTCACTTTGCAAATTTTTTGAATATCAAGTAATCATTGAGCCTCTAAGCAACAACAGTGACCGCAAGGAAATTGCCAGAGGCTTGTAGAAATGTTTACCATTTTATACTCCACAGGGGGCATGACCCTTAGTCTGCTGTCACCATTCCTATTATTTGCAGGTATTCCGCTTCACCTCTGCCACTGCCTCAAGTTTAGTCATTTTATTTCCGATAAATAAAAAAGCTTCGGAAGACTTGAACAGATGGCCACTTGGTGTTTCAATCCAGAGGATGTTAGTAAAGTACTTACCCCACAAAAACAAGGACCTGACTTCAGATCCCTTGCTTGAAAATCTGGAAGCCACAGCATGTATCTGTAATCCCAGGACTCAGGGGCTGAGTGAGAGTGGTGGATCCCTGGAGCTCAGTAGCCACCAGTATAACCAACTGGATGAGCTCCAGGTTTGGTGAGAGACCCTGCCTCAAACAGTGAGGACACCTACTGGTGTTGATATCCAGGCTCCACAGTCATGGTCAAACTCACTCACGAAAACTCACATGTGTATGTGCACACACACATGAGCATGTGTACACACACACACACACACCACGCAGAGCAAAAGAAAGAAATCCAAACACCATTATTAAGGTGAGAAAAGAAAGTTTCTTCTGGGGGATCAGAAGCAAGATGTTCACGGTGACTCTGTGGCAGAGACTCATGCAGGGTCGAGAAACAGGGACCCAAAGAATAGTAATCCAAGAACTTATTTCCACATTAATTCTGACGGTGATAAGGTAGGAAATGACATTGCTGAAACTTTGAGAGATGTGATACTGAGCCTGGAGCCTCCAGATACAACATGATGGTTGTCAGCTGCTTTTGGAGCAGGTGCCAGAGCCAGAGTCTGGAGTGAGTTGAAAGAAAAATGACCGTCTCTCTTCCTTCTGCCCTGAATTTCTCCTGGTGCTTCCCATTGGCAGAAACTAGGCAAAAATTCAATTGGCAAGAAACCCAAGAAGAAACAAACTTGGGGGCACAACACAAGAGCAGAGAGAAATGGGTCTGGTCTATGAGAGTAGAGGGAAGAAGCTGAGAAATTCTGATAATGAGGATGGACCCATTGTCTGTGTATCTCTCTTCTCCTCCACAGGTACAGAGATGCTCGGGGAGAATGGTATATTTCCCAAGGAAAATGCCAGCCATTGTCTTTGTTTACTAAACTTCACACCAAAACTTTTGCATAAACATCTCAAGTTTTTAAATGGAAAGAAAGAGCAGACACAGCCCATCTGGGATGGAAAAAACACCAAGATTACCTGAGGAATGAGATGGAGCAGGGCGTCCCCAGAAAGCGTCCCCACAGCCAAGCCCACGAATAGCTGTAAAATAAGACTGTAGTTCTCCTCACAGCTGTGGAAAAGGACCAGCGCCGTCCCGAGCATGGAACCCAAGGTCAGGAGGGTCACTGCAGCTGTGCTGTAGCCATATTCTAGTCAAAAGAGATGACAAAGGCTGTCAGTGTGCACTGCTCTCCACTCAGGCCTCAGTTAGCGGAAATTCAAATCCACTCTTCGGAGGTCACAAACCATGGGGACGCACATGGTTTTCTAAGTATTGTATGGGATAAAAGGTTATTTTTTTTGTAAAGCAAAAAGTGAAGAACCGTGTTCTTCTATGACTTGCTGTGTTCTAAATGTTTATTACTCCTCCACCCCAGCCCGCAAGGTGAAAGTACAAAGGTGAGGAATTCATTCAGGTCACTAGGTTACACCGGCTCTGTTCAAGTGAATGCGGTAGGTGCTTATAAGGAATCTCCAGCAGGGGGAGAAAGTGAGCTCATGGCATCCTATGAACCAGAGAGTAGACCCCCATCACCACCACATTAAACAGACAATCTACCAATACATTGGCCTTGCGCTTCTTGGCTTCCAGAACTGTGGGAGACAAATTTCTGTTCTTTATAAATCACCCCGATTATTTTATTACAGCAAAGACTAAGAAAAGAAGTTTTTGTTTGTGTCACTCTGCTTCCCCCCAACCCCCACCCAGGACCCTCACCTCAGGCTTTGAGGCTATCCTCTGCTTGCTTTAAAACCACTGAAAGAAGTACATACACAGTCTGTCTACCACCCACAGAAAAAGGTGATTTCCAGTCTGGTAAATCCAGCACCTGCTTGAAAGACACTAGTACTGATTCCATCTAATGACACTTAAGTACTTCAAAGACAAGGAAGCTGTGCTGAGAGAGCATGGGATATGGCTTCACTGCAGACCAAGGCTTATATACAAACTGAGCATGCACTTCAGAAGAACTTCCTTCTAAAAGCTTTCAAAACTATTTGACATATAGAAATCAATGAAATTCTCAATAATTTTCACCTGGTCTTATAGGTGAAAAAACCCTGATAATATAAAATTTAACAGTTTGTATTTTAGATTCTTACAAGAATTCTTATAACCCCTAAAGTATATTCCATGAATCTAGTTCTCCAAATATCGGCTTTATAGTCAGTAAACGTGGTGGTTTGGATTGATCATCAACTTCCAGAATCTTGAATCCCCTAGAAAATGAGTCTTAGTGATTTTCTAGCTTAGGTTAATGATGGTAGCAAGATTCACCTTAAGTGTAGACAACGTCATCCCATGGACTGAATGAAACAGAGAAAGTGAGCTAAGATCCCTGCTGACTTCATAAGTAATGTAATCAGCCACCTCAGGCTCCACCATGGTGGGCTGTTCTCTGGAACTGTGAATCAAAATACACACATGCTCTCCCTTCTTAAAGTTGCTTCTCTCACAGCAACTACAAAAGCTGGCAATTCAATAAGAGTTTAAGATTAGTTATTTTTTAAATTAATATCTGTGTATGGAAAACTAAGGAGCAAATGGAACCCTTCAGTTTTCACGGTTAAATCCAATTGTAGTCTATCAGATTTTACTTTTATTATTTTTAATTATTCATATGATATGTGTGCAGAAAACACAGCTTAGAAAAATCATGGGAGGAAGCAGGATTGTCAGTCACACAGAACTACTTCCTTCAACATGCAATGATGCCTGGCCACCTGGAATATCTGAGGGAAACGAGGCCATTCAGCCTGGTGATTCTTTGCGAGTATATTAGGAGCCAGCCTCTACCTAAATCCCCGGTATTCTGAACATTGTCAGGCCCTAATCCTGCAGTGACTAGAACTCATCCCTGAGAAAGAGGCCCCATGTACTTTGCCTCCTCCATCAATAGAATCTATCCTTATCTTCATCAAAGAGCTTTCATCTAGGTCCTAGCCATGAGCTCTGTTTATCAGCCAATAAAATTCATTCTTCTTTTAAAGGTCACTGGTTACAAATCCTACTATATTGAAATGTGTAAGAAAATATAAACCATGAGGTCAGTCCCTGAAGGTCTTGACCCCAGTGCCTACAAAGATGGTAGTGTCCCAAGATGGTACCATCCAAAGATGGTAGTTTCATTCTGCACTTCACATAGATCATCCTACTTGTGTGGATAGGAGAGGGCAGAGGGGGAGGGGTGACTCAAGAACCAGCTTGTCTCCAACTTCAACTTAAAAGCCACCTTATAGTTAAGACAAACTAGGTTCATTACTATGTGTGATGAGACATGTTTCTCAGTGATTGGGCTATGCCTCCTATGCCTCACAAACACTTCTGTACTGCCTCTTCTAAGAATGGTGATCCTGTCTTTGTTTCAAAAGGTTAATAACCATCTTGCAACCCTACTTTTGTTTCAAAAGGGCAGTTATGGATACCTTGTTATGACTTCCTGTTGTTATAACTACCTTGCAAATCATGTCTTTGCTTCAGGAGGCCATTGTGACTAATTTGTTATACTTATTTTCTGCCTATTTTGTCCATCGAATTGCCTATTTGGAAATTCCCTACCCTGCTGCCTTCCTTGAATCCAACATAACCTATCCAACCCCCACCTTAAGGAGAGGCAGCCTGTATGTATGATTTTTTTTAAAAGCTTGCAACTTCGTTCAATTAATTGCTTGCTTTAATTAATTTGGCCATGATGATTTGGATCAGTTGTCTTTCTTCTCCCATCTTTGGGGTTAACATTGTCTGACATACATGAGTGTCTGTGATTATGTGGAGCATATGTAGGTGCCTGTGTAGGCAGCTGTTAGCCATTTGACATGGATGCTTGGAACGAAACCCCTGTCCATAAAAGCTGTCCACACTCTGACCTGCCAAGTTGTCTCTAGCCCCTCAATCGTAGCCTCAAAGGAAAGATCCTCTTACAGTGTGTTATAATAGAAGAATCCTGGGGGAGGGGAACAGGAAGCCCCCCTCCTAGCTCAGGAGCTATGATAGCTGGGGGAGGGGAGTGATTTCTCAGCAGGGGTGTGACTGCCAGTAGGTTTTCCAAGTTCAGATGCAGAGCTCCACACTCATTAGCAGGTTGGTGGGACTAATTGGATTCCCTGGATTTTGTTGTTGATTTGTTTTGTTTTGATTTAAAAAAAAAAAAGAGAACAAGAAGTATGGAGATGTGTTAAGGGGCTCATGGTAGTGGGAAAGGAGACCTAGAGGTAGCTATGATCCAGATACATTGTGTCCATGAATGAAACTGCCAAAGAACAGATCGTTAGCATTGTTTTCAAGTAACTAATGCTCCTTTCCTACCATACTTACATTTTTCTAGAAGGTTCGCCCTTCACATCAGATCATGTTAATGATGTAAGCGAACACACAGCAAGAAGCTGGAGATTTTAAGAGCTGTTTTGTTGGTTCCCAGCTCTCACCTCACAGGGAGAAAGGGAGTTGGCAAAGGCAGGAAGTTGCCAGTCCTCGGTGGTCATCTCACCTCCTCTGCCAACCTTTCACTGTGGAGTCCCTCTATACTGCTTTAGGGGATAATGAAGACTCGGCCTTGGCCGAGTTTGGAAATATGAAAAGTTAGCTGTTTCATATCTATGTGAATACACAGAACACTGCTGAACTGTACAAACAAAAGTAATTAAGGAGTTGGGAGCCCAGGCCAGTGGTACAGCGTGTGCTTAGAATTCACAGGGCCCCGACTCCCTTCCTCTGCATCTGAAGAAAAAAGTGAAGGTAAATTTTATGATGTGCATATTTTACAACAGTTAATTTTAACAACTTTAAGGATGGCTGGGATGCTCATATACCTACACAGCTGTTATATTTCATTCTAATTTATTAAGGACACAAGAACTCCCATGTTATTAAAGCATCTTTGAGGATTTTCATAGCCCATCTATTCCCAGCTGGACTTTATTAATGGATGGCATTGTTTTCTCCTAAATGTATAAAGTAATTAGAATTTCAACATGGGCAACTGGGAGTTTTGAATAGTACCTACAAGAGATTATAACATGCCAAAACCTCATAAGACAAGTGAAAATCTGAAAGTGTCTAGTATCCCAACTTCCTTCTGTTCTGTGGGCAGATACAAACTGACACTGGAGGAAAATGGATGTTTCATGACTTTGGAGCTTCTAAAGACTCTCTGAACTAGATTTTGCCTTCTTTCTAGTGAGTGGAATAGCCTGGAAGTCATAAAATCTCTGATGTGCTGTGAAGTACTCTGCTGATTTGCTGTCAGCCCCAGGCCAAGCATCATGGCATCTTGACCTGTGTCTGGTGACTTAGCACCAGCTTCTGTCTCAATATTTCCCATCATTACAGAACTTGCTGAAATTTTATCTAAACAAGGTCATGGGCTCCCTTCCTAGAAATGAGGTTGAAAGTGGTATTTGCTGTATGTTATTAATAGGATATTTTAAAAGATTTCCCTAGATGAGTCTAGAGGTTCTTTTTCCCCATAAATCTCAAATTCAATTAGCTTTTCTGTAAGCAACTTGTATGCACCAGGCACCAAGAAAAGAGCCAGGCCCTAAAACTGGAAGAACAAGTTGCTCAGAATCTCAGAGTGCCTGAGACTGAAGAATATGTCTCAGGTAAATATTTTCAATTCCAATATCAGTATGTTTTCTTTTTTTACATGCCATTTCTCCCCCTTCTCTGTCTGTCAATCTCTCTGTCTCTCTGTCTCTCTCTGACTCTCTGTACTCTCTCTCTCTCTCTTTCTCTCTGTTCTGTCTCTCTCTCTCTCTCTCTCTCTCTCTCTCTCTGTGTGTGTGTGTGTGTGTGTGTACATTCATGAATGTGAAGTGTGGGCTCAACATATCAACATAGAGTGACTTCCTTAATTACTCTATATTTTATTTGTTCCTTTTTAAACCCCAGCCTCTTACTGAACCTAGAATTCATCGATCTGCCTGGGATTGTCCTGTCTCTACTTGCCAGAACTGAGATTTCAGCCACATGCTACCACACTAGGCTTTTGTGCATGGGTGTTAGGAACCCAGTTCATGTCCCCACACTTGCCTAGTGAGTGCTTTGCTGATTGATCCTTCTCCAGACTCTTTAATCATAGAATTTTAAGTTGCTTCATGATTTAGTCAAATATGAGGGACAGAAACAATTTACGTAAAGTATATACAAAATAATAAATATTCTCTGAAAATCATCTCGCATGCTGATACATATCCATTATCCCAGCATTTGGGAGACTATGACAGGAAGATCATAAGATCAAGGTCCACCTGAGATACTAAGCAAAACTCCATCTCAAAGGTAACAACAAAAAGTCACTGAAAAGCATCAGAGACTTTTGACTTGGCTTGACTTCCAATGCCATTGTGTTAACAAGTGTGTAATACTTGTGCCTGTGTTTCTTCACCTCTAAACTGTGATCATCCCTCCTCTCTATATGAAGGATGAGATAAGTTGGTAAATGTATAATGCTTAGGATGGCTCCTGCTGCACCGTGGGTATGTTGTGTTTCCTACTATTACTACATGCATCGTGCACATGGGTGAGGAACCCAGACTTACTCTCCAGAGTGGTGGGTGGGGGCTTTACTTGCTGGTCCATGGGCATCTGACAAGAGCAGCTGAGCAGTTGTTGGATGATCCCTGGACTTAGCTGCTTAAAGTCCTCCTGAGAAATGGACAGATTGCTGTGGTTTTGAAGAAATATCTCCACCAGCTGCCTAGCAGAGAAGCAAGCCTGTATGAAGAAAACACAGAGTTACAAACCTCAGCCTTCGATCAGCTGGAAGAGCCACCCAATGAGGCAGAGCTCCACAGGACTGCAACAGATGTATGAGACATCATTGCGATGACATCATTCCAACTTCCCTCAATACCTTTGCATTGTTAACCCTTTGTTATCTATCTCCCAAGGTTTATTTAAAAATATATAGTACCTCTCTTTCATTCTGAGTATAATTTCATATTCCTGAAATGTATCTTTTCTTTCTGGCAAAGAGAGACAGATTTACAATGTGTTGCATGGTATTCTAACCAGAGACCCCTCAGAAGTTTACAAGTTTTTGTTTTCCCCCATTTTTCAATTGGGGAAACTTTGATTGTACAAAGCCAATTTTATATGCTAAAAAGGAACCATGTGGTAGTGAAATTGGTGGCTTTGATACTATCTCACATAACAAGGCTAAGTCAAAACGTGTTTTCAAAAGAAATGAAAGGTTAAGTTTAGAAGGGAATGCTATGTCAGCTAGCCAGTATAAAAATTAAATAATAGAGTGACCTGTCTCTGTTAACATCCTATACAAAAACAAACAAACAAACAAACAGCAAAAATAACTGTTATTTTTGACAGAATTTATCTTTGTCCAGTTTTACCTACAGTTTTGTTCTTTCATGTTATATAGGCATACTTAGACAAACATTCCTAAAATAAATGCAACATGCCTTTAAAAAATGTCTTTAAAAAGAGTAAAGATTGTTTTTGCAGTTTAAAAGTAAAAAGTAGGCTTGTATGCATAAAAAATTGCAACTTAAGAAAGTCTTGAATAAAGATTCATGCCACCAAGGCTGAAGGTCTCAGTTCAATTGCTGAGAACCATGTGATAGAAGGAAAGAACTGATGCCTTCATGTTGTTCCCTGACCTCAAAGAAGGTGTGTGTGTGTGTGTGTGTGTGTGTGTAAAATGTTCCACAATAGTGTTTCTTATTAAAATGTGTGTGTAATTAACTTACTTGAACATTTTCTAAATAATAATAGAATAAAGAACAAAGAGTAAAGACTATGCTATTAACCAAGCTATACGCACATTCTGTGTCTGCAATTTAATTTAAGCAATTACTACCTCTATGCCTTACCATTAGGATGAAATATTACAAAAAGTAGTCTTATATAATAGTTTTCATATGAATGAGATATACAACTCCATGCCCAATGTATAATAAATAGTTAATAAGTATGATCCAATACCATGGGACATTAACTTCTGAACATTGTAATGAGCTATGCAGAAAAATATTCTACAATACAAGTCTGTGCAATGCTGGGCTTCTTGAGATGAATGAAATTTGTTTTCTAATGGGCTTCTCAAGACTGTTATGTGACACAGTGAAATATCTGTCTTAAGAATGGATTTGCGCATGAGCTGACCATACAGGGTGAGTACAAAGAGAAGCAAAACCTTTGATCCCAGCTGCTGAAGAGTCAGAAGCAGGAGCCCTGAAAGTGCAAGGCCTTTCTGGGTAGATAAAGAATTCAGACAAGACTGAGGAAACTAGTGAGACTCTGCCTCAAGATAAAAAGTGGGGGTTGGGGAGATAGCTCAACATGTTAAATAATTGCCATGTAAGTGTGAGAGTCCGAGATTGGATCCCCATAACACACACAAAATCTGGACAGGTCCGGAAACTCGCCTGTACTCTTGGTGTACTGTAAGTATGGAGAAGGGACTGCCAGATCACACTGGCTTACTATGGAAGCAAAATTGGTGAGCTCTGAATTTGAGTGAGAGCTTACCTCAATATATAAGGTGACAATCAATGAGGAAGACTCTACTACATTCTCTGACCTCTAATCACATGGTACACATATACATACACAAACATGCATACACACACATGTCAAGAAAAAAATAAAAATCTTAAAAGAGCTAAGAATGTAGTTCAATGATAGTATACTTATATAGCCTAGGATAATTCCCAGAACCATTTGAAAGAACCAATTTATTATACAAATATGATTCTGATAGTCAACACACAAAGGAATCTCTTCCTAATCTACAGTAAATTTAAAGTATCTGCTTATCACTATTGTTACATATGTAATGATTAAATCCTCTACTGATTTGTACGATTCTTATGCCTAAGGCCTATCTTTGACCAATTTGGCATTCTTCATGCCAAGATAGCATAAGTCCATATTAAGTGCTTAGTATATCATTTCTAAATTATTTATTCATATATTCAGTATGGACCTAAAAGAAACCCTAAAATTTTGGCCTATTTCTATGTTTGTAGAAATCCACTTACAGAAAAAGAAAACTATAAGCACACATAGAGAGATAGAATGCATTGAGAAAAATGCACATTTTCTTCGTAAGTTTTTTTTAATTCTGCTAGAACTTTCTTCAGCAATAAAGAATGATAACATAAAAAATGGAAATACCTGATCCCAGGAAACAGAATGATCGTCAGATTTGTTGTCCATTGCTGTAGATGCCTTGGGGTCTCTCAAACCATGTACCACTGTATTTTGTTTCCTTTGGTGTTGATGGAGACTATCCTTTTTGGCACAGGCCCTTCTGGTTGAAAGTATGCTCAGAAGTTGCTCTAGTTCTAGAAATTTCATATAAAATCTGGTGTCACATAGAATAGATAGGTCACATTTAGAGTAGTCACGACTTCCATGGCCACAGCACAAACTTTTTAACAAGGTAAACTGGTTCTATTGAGAAAGGTTAAAATGGAACAACAAAAGGATGTATGTACTTCCCACAGGTACTAATCTGTCAAAAGATCTTGGCTAAACTTGGGTGATAATTCTTTCAAGAATAATCCTACATTGTTACAACCAAGACATAATAAAAGCGAGCAGCCAGGAGACATACATTTCACTGATGAAAGAGAAAGGAAATGGCTCAAGAGTCAATGCATTTGCTACCAGACTTCATGATTCACTTTGATTCCTGGGTCCCAAGTGGTGGAAGGAGACAACCAACTCTAGACAGATTTCCTCTAATCTTTTCTTGCGAACTGCGGTACCCTCATGTCTATACACATATACACAAACATATCCATGCACTCACACATACATATGTATAAAATAACTAAAATGCAATAAAAATTGTAATTAAAAAATATGAAGTTAAAAACTGGCCCGATCTTCAGGAAATTTAGTCCCTTAATGTAACCTACATCCTCAAAAGATTGCATAGTTCTTTCATGTATATAAATCAATCAAAATGTTTTCCTTTTAAATGTATATGCAAAAAGAGGAAATAAGTGAAAGCATGTAGAGATTAGAGAGGTGCACTAGCTCTTATTTTTAATTCTGCTGTTGATGGCACACATATATTGTAGTTCAGTATTCTTAATTCATCTCTTTGCTATTAAAAACATGAATACAGAGAGCAACTAAATAAAATGCCCATTCTATATGGCATTACTTTTTAAGTAAAATATAATTTTCCTAAACAGTAAAACAAGCATTATTAAGATTATCAAATAATTTTATTGTAAATGACCAATTTTAAAGAAGAACAAAAATATTACCAGCTTTCCGGATAATTTAGAAAATGTGACCTGTGTTCAGGAAAAACAGCAAACAACAGGTATATCTCAGAACATTCCTAAATGTAGAATTTCATACCCAAAGTCCCCAAGGCAGTTAGCAATATTATGTTTAAGAAACTAAACAAAACCATATTTAAATAATTAAAGCTAACCATGGTAAAAAAAATTAGATAAAAGCCAATTTTCAATAAGATGATAAAAGTTATATAAAATTTCCAGCAGATATTCTGTAGTGTTGAGACAAAACTGAAAAATAATTACAAAAACATCAATAAATGATATTTGTAAGAAAACAGAAAGTAAAATTCACCCATCATTTAGATTGGGTAGCAGAAAGATTTTTTTTCTGCAGAATAGAGGGGTGGGGAGAACTGGATTAAATTTCAGAGACCTAGAAAACAACAGTTATTATCAACAGATACAGATTGGCAGCCACAGGCAGACAGAACAAAGGCTCATGAAGAGATGCTGATGGAAACAATGGTCAAGAACTCAGGTGTATTACAAAATCCTCATTAGATGCTGAGGAACTTTACCAAGCACAAGGAGGTTAAGTAAGGAAACATCCATGTCCATACACATTATAGTCAACCAGCTTAAAATCAAAGATAAAGTCTTGAAAGCAACAAGATAAAGTGATTCAGATATGTGAAACAGGTGATGGCTGACTTCCCATCTGATCAATGAGAACCAAAAAAATAACAGGATGATGTATTCATAGAATGGAAAGAAATGGTTGTTAATGGTTTTATATCCAACAAAACAAACCCTCAAAATAAATTGGGAAAAATAAAATCCAAGCAAATAGGAAATGAGAATTTTTTTTTGGTAGTGGACATATAGTACAAGAAATACAGAATTATGTTCTCCTTTTATTTATATACATGTATGTATATGTGAGTATGAGTATGTGTATGTGTGCCCAGGTGCCTATAGAGGCCAGAAGAGGGCAGTGAGTTCCCTCAAGCTGGAGTTTCAAGCAAGTTCCAAGTCTTCTGGTATGGATATTGAGAACTGAAGAACAGTAAGACCTATTTACAACACTGAGCATCTTGCCAGTCCTGGAATGAAATTCTTTAGGTTGAAAAGAAACAAACTGAACTTTCCTTTGGGTAAAATTTCAGTTTGTTCAAGTTTATTATAGGAAATGAAGAGCTTTAGAAATTGTAGGTTAGTGTAAGAGACTCTGTAAATATATCTATAAATATAAATAAATTCAATGATAAAATATTACAGGTTTTTTTTTCAAGCTCAGAATGACAGGAATATAAGTAACCCACTGTATTCTTGAATATTGTATTGCAATTATTAAACAAAGCAGGCAGATGAGAGGGCAAGGAAAATTGCAGGAATTGGAAGGAGACAATACTGTTTGGACATGGTGTGTGTGTGTGTGTGTGTGTGTGTGTGTATGTGTGTGTGTATGTGTGTGTGTGTGTGTATATGTGTGTGTGTGTGTGTGTCTGAAACTTCAGGAAACCAATGCAAATAACAATTTTCATGAAGCAGATTACAAACTTAATCTATAAAAGTCACATATGCATACACTCCACAAAAACACACATAGGCATAATGAAGTTGAAAGATATATTATTGAATACAATGTATAATGTGTTACAAATGACATTCCTCCCCAAGCACTGTGGGTGTTCTACAAGGGCACTTGGTCTGTTGTCTACTGTCATCATGTGAAGATGTGCCTTCCTCTACTCTAAAATGTACTGTGCATGTCTTATATAATATGTGTTTCTTTTCTGCATTCTCCCAATAGAGATAGATCAAAAGGACCAGAGAGCAGAGACAAGGCCAGAACAGAGCATTAGATCATCATTTTATCTAAGCTTCATATAACCAATTACCAAAAGCTTATGAACCTCATAGAAAAGATAACCAAATATTACCAGTTGTTTTATGGAAACCACCAACCATTAAATAGTGTTCTTCAATAAATAAATGACAATGAATCAAATTTCCACCTACAGCCACCAAGTCACAGGAAATGGATAGTGTGGACGTTCATGGTCATTCTGAATGCAATCAGCAATCAACAGGGCAATCACTCCTTTTACTCCCCCAACAAATAATTTATGATAAAATAGACAGGATCAGGGTAGAGGCATATATGGCACTTGTAAAGGAAATGAGAATCCTACCAACATTTTACATTTTGTGGATTTCAGATATAATTTGTCTATGTGTGTGCTTGTGTGTTTATCTGTGTGAGGATAGACACGCATGTGCACAGCATGCATGTGGAAGTCTACAGTGTCAGTCCTTACTTTCTCCCTTGCATGAGACACAGACTCTTGCTCTCACTGTTTATGCCAGGCTAGCTGGCCCATGAGCTTCTGAGGGAGTCTTCTGTCTCTGCCTGTCTTTCCAGAGGAATGTTGAGATCACTAATCTCTACCATGCCTGGCTTTATTGAGATGTTGATGTGCTGTGCAGAATCTCAACTTAGCGTCTTTATGTTTTCACAGGACACAGTTTACCCATCTTTCTAGCTCATTTTGTGGATCTTATCTAGACCCTGATTCATTAAAAAAAATATAGATTTTTAAAACTCAGGAAAACGTGGTCCAACATTCTCCAGTGCTGAGAACTGATTACTTTAGGCTGGTATTGGTAATGAGATCAAAAAGAAAATTCACCTTCAGACACTTAGATTCAGATATTGAAACTTTCAACTCATTTCAGATACTTAGCTTTCAAGTCATTTTCCTTATTAAGTACAAAGAAACATACAATATCAATATTCAGATCTCCTTCCTTGCAGCACATTTCATCTTGGAGCCTCGAAATAATTTTATCATAAATGAAATCCGATGAATTACTTAAACCACTTTGACTCGAGGCAGAGCATGCACTCTGCACCCACCAAAGAGCTCTCTGGATTCATGAATGAAAGAAATACACACACATACACACACACACTAGCTAATTTTGATATGCCTTGAGTAGCTCAGTGGCTAGGCACTTCTAAACCTCCCCATGGCTAGCAAACACTTTCTCTGGTATTCCTGAATTAACCTCTTTTAAAATCTATATTTCATCTCTGCTACCCCAGACCCAATTGGGGAAGTGGCCGCTAGGACTACTTTCCCAGATTCTTACATGCCAGCGGGCCTTTAAGTTTCATCTTTCTGCTTTTTTTTCTCTTGGTCCCTTGCCTGAGCAATCTAAAAGTCCTACCCCATCTCCCTGTCTAGCCATTCTTTACTATCAGTCAAAGCCAGTTGGGGGCAAAGATCCTAAGATCTGGAAGTGGCTTTGAGAGCAGAATTCATACAAAGCATTATTACCAATTCCCAACACAGAAGTAGATGAATAACATACAAGTTACTTCTGCTGAGAAAGAAATGGCTTACTTTTATGATTACATGCAAGCTTCTGCAGACTCTCTTGGGCCATTTTGAACAGCATTTTTATCATTCCATGCTCTGCCATCTCAGGTCCAATGTTATGTATGAAATAGGGAAGGGTTTAGTTAGTTCTCAAAGACAGGATTTTAAATCTGTCAAAAAAAATATGGCTGGAGATTCTACCCTCAACAGAACCTCTCATAATACATTGTTGCTAAATTCTGGAAAGTCCTATGAGAGAAAGGAACAAATTGAAACATAACAGCACAACCCTCAAGGTAATGTAAAATTATTAAATTTATAAATTTAATAATTTAGGATTTTTCAATTTTTAATTTGATTCCATGCCCCTACAAAAATGGACCAAGTTTGTGTATATGCTTCATCAGCCAATAGACTTCTGCCCTAAAAGGCCATCTGTGCCCTCTTTATCACATGCCAAGATATGACAATGTTTAAAACAGACATGGATAAATTCAGTCAACAAAATAGTATAGCCTTTGTTTTCTGGCACAATTAATCAGACAGATGTGACTTGGAAATGAAATTTGCGAAAAACAATCTTACCAGATAGGTGGAGGGTATTGGTACTATTCAGGAAACTGAAAATATATTCTGTAAAATCATCTGGGGAAGGCAAGTTTTTTCTCCCCAGACAAACTCCTTGGAGTGACAGAGCGATGATGGTTGCGGCCAGCTGAGGAAGTGTCTTTTCGTCAGCACCATTGCTGCTCTGAATGCCAGATTCCCTCTGCAAAATCTTAGTTTCCATACACTACAGCCAAAAACAAGGGGGAAATGTTAACTTCTGGAGTTCTGTTGAGGAACTGTATATCTAAAAGAAGACTGGTTTGTAGGAATGATGTCATCATCTACTACCTGGGGGGGGACTCGATTTGGGAAACGTTTGACTTTTTCAAACCTAATCCCACCCTCATGCATCCGAGTTATCTACCCTTCCTTATGATTGTCTTAAAGACAGACTTTCTGAAGTGCATACTCTGCTCTTACAGCTTGCGTCCTTTCCCTTGATGAATTTTCTCCCAGATTCAAGGACTCTTGTAGGCTAGATGACTTTCAACTGCATCCTAGCATTGATGGCACGCTGGGACCTGAAATGATTAATCTTAACAGTCAACTTGATGAGGTTCAACATCGCCTGGGAGAAGGGTTTCTAAGCATGCCCACGGGAGAGTTTCTTACTGAAGTAGAAAGAGCCATCCAATGTAGGTGGTGTCACTCCCTACGGTTGGGATTCTAGGCTGTATAAAAAGGAGAACACAGGCTGGTAACAAGTATTCACTGCTGTTTTCCTACTGGTTGTGGGACTGGGTGACCAAGTATTTCATGTCTGTACTGTCTTGATGAACCTCATGCCTCTAACATTCTTTTTTACAGCCTATGAAAATTTTACATTACCTTGAAGGTTGTGCTGTTATGTTTCAATTTGTTCCCTTCTCTCATAGGACTTTCCAGAATTTAGCAACAATGTATTATGAGAGGTTCTGTTGAGGGTAGAATCTCCAGCCATTTTTTGACTCAAGAAGTCCTTAGAGTACAATCAATATCTATCTTCCAGAAGAGGCAGGGCTAGGATGAGCTATGGACAGACCCATGTATGTTTACCACATACCCAGAAAATAGCAGAAAGAACTGCAAAGTCAAGCACTGGGGATTGGTCGAAGATAATGAAATTACTTATGGAGTTACTTATGGAGGTGATAGTGAAGGAATGGGGTGGCATTTATATTCTGGTCTTGTAGTATGGCTGGATGAGGACACTAAGATATAAAGCCACTTCTCCTAGAAGTTGGTTGAGGACCATCTAGAATGGCTACTAGAGGACTGCCCTGTGGAAGTCAAGTTCTATGCATTTTAAGAGCTGGGACTGCAAGGGATAGACTGGTGTGCAACTCCTATGCTGTCTAGGACAAAGCATCAGTCTGCAGAGAGATGTCACCAGCCTTCTGCAAAGGCTTGACTGACTGACTGGCCACTTAGGTCATTGTGGGTAAATAGACTACAGGAACCATCCAGAAGTCACATATATACATTGGTGTAGTTGGAAGATCACTGTGGTAAAGCCTAGAAAGGTGCATGACAGTAGTTTGCTTCTTGTTAACTAGATGAAAAAAAAGTAGTTTCCTATGTCCTGTTATTTTATTCTCTATAGATGTTTGATCTTACAAATACTGTAAAGGCTGAACACTGACCATGTGGGCAGTGTAACTAGAAACCCACTGCTACCCATCATTTGCCTTTAAGTTCTGGATTTCCATTTCTATTTAATCTACACCAGTAAAGGGGCAGGATATCTAAAATCCTAGTGGGTAATTCAAGCCAATATTACATCATAGAGAAATCGCAATGAAGATGTTACATTTAGGAACACATCCTTATTCAAGCTAAAAATTAAATTCTATTAAGTAACCTTTTCCTAACATGGAAACAGGACTAATTTGGTCAAAGGTTAATACTCACAGAATTAGAGGTGGCATACAGACAGATCTTTGCAAGGTCTTTAGTAAATATGCTTTTTCTTGTATACTAAGTAAGAAGAGATATTAAGCACATTTGTAACATTTAGAAAGGGGATTTGCTGGTTGTTGAGCCAGAACAGGCCAGCAGAGACCTTTTCCTCTTGGACAACAGAATGGAGACTAAGAATTAAGCTTTTTTTTAAAGAAATCAATGAATAATTCAAAAGATAATAAAGATGCACAACCATTGTTTCATAAATAATGTTCATACCCCTTCAAATTGTGGTATGGATCCTCAAAGAACTCTTCTGGAAATATGACTCAAGATTTATGAGGCAGAGGATGTAGTTCAGTGGCAGAATGCTTGCCTAACAAGCCCAAAGCCCTGGGTTCAATCCCCAGTATCAGTGATGATGATGATGACAATGACTGGTGGTGTTGGTGGTGGGTGTGTATGTGTGTGTGTTATAAATATGTGTGTAAATGTGTATGTACCCTGATTATGACCATGTGGAAGCCAGAAGTCAGTCAGTAATTATCCTCTACCTTTATGGTTTTTTTTTTTTTGAGACAGTGTCTGTCAATAAACTTGTAGCTTGCCATTTTGGCTAGATTAACTGACCACAAGTCCCAAATAACTGCCTTTTCTTCTCCAACCCCAAGACTGCAGGAGTAATTGTAACCCTTGGCTTTTACATAGGTGCTAGAGACACAAATGCAGGTGTTTGTATTGGTACTTCAAGCATTTTGTTCCTGAGCCATCTCCTCAACTCCATGGGTAATAATAATAATAATAATAATAATAATAATAAACATTGCATTCAGATACCTTTGTTTGCTGAAACTTCCCATTGTAAACCAGAAAGTAAAAGTATGCTTGAAAGGCCATCATTCCTAGAATAGCAATGAAGACAGGTGCCGTGCCCCTGTCCTGGGCTGGGGGTAGATAAGAAGCCTGGACATACAGTGCTAAGCAGCATTGGGCTGCTGTTTGTTGAGTATTGCAAATAATGCTTTTGCAAGTGATTTCATCGATGAAATCACTAATGATAAATCATCTCTTAAACTGTTTCCACCTTCTTCCTTGGACAGAAGCCATGACAAATGGACACATGGCCTTCCACCACTTTAGTTCATCTCTTGGATGTGGCTCAAAAGCTTTGAGTCATGGTTATTAGGGAGATGAGAGCTGCCCTGTCACCTGGCCTGCCTACTCACCCACCCGCCCACCCACCCAGCTTCTGCCTAAAAGTCATCTGACATTTAGTCATCCCATTTCCTCTTGGACTTTTAGATTATGTCACTTACTATCCTGGAGTTAAGCCGGAAATAGTTATCTCTCTTAGATGTTCACCCATGACCTAGGAATAAGTGGTAAAACTAAGACCAATCCTACAGCTCCCCCATTCTTTACTTCTTACCTGACGACTAGAAGTGCCAAAGTGCTTCCTGGTGAAAGCCAAGATGTCATCAGTCTCCTTTTCTGAAAGGAAATAGGAGTCTTCATCCTGCCTGAGGCCAAGTAGACTGTGCAGGTAAAACTCATATTCCCTGGTGCTCATGTTGAGGTTGGAAGAACAGATCTCTTCCTGATGAATGATGTAATAGAGGAGGAGGAGTGAAACTCTCTGGATTACCTCCTCTCTCAGCTCATCCTTCAAATCTCCCCCAGCTGTGAGTAACAGCACATCGGGTTCCAAACACTGTAGGGAAAGGTAAGGAAGAAAGAAGACAAAGCCAAGCTTTACACAGAGCTCTAAAGTATTACACACACAAAGTTTCAAGTGTTTGTGCCTTGTGAGTACAGGGCAAAGCGGTCAGTCCCTGCAGCTACATTCATGGAGACTGACTGAGTCATGGTGAGACTTTTGTCTGACCACCATCTCCTCCTGGGGACCCTTTTGTAAAAGGGGACTCTTTGTCCTCAAGATGTTGATTTGCTCCTTTGTATAAAACCAGCCAATTCCCTGGCTTTAAAATGATGTTCCACATAGCATCCTTTGTCTTTTTCTAGCCATAAACCTTGAAGAGTGGTGAGTGGTAGAAGGGCTGGTCTAGAACTATGGCTTTTCTGACCCCACAGAAATAGTAGTCCTAAATGAGTAAGTTCATATAAATGAATCAGACACATGAAAGTTATAGCAAGTGAGTTGGGGGTGGGGCCAGTTGTGGACTAAAATCAGTTCCTTAAAACAGTGGCCGTGGCCTTAAAAGGATCTGATAACTACCTGACATTTTCAGTTGAAATCTTAAGCATCTAAGACAGATGAAGAGGGCAATGTCTGGGGTTGGGTTTTTGAGGAAGATCATTGTTCCAGAGTTCCCGAAAAAGGATCATACATTGCCTTGAAGAAGAGAGACAATAAGGGACTGAAGGCATCGTGAGCTCCCCACGTACAGTACACGCATCAGTTTCCACAAGATCCTACAGAATTATCCCAGAAGAATTAACCCTTTGATTAGAGATTGGAAAAAGAGGTTCAATATGCCTCAATGGCTAGAAGTTTCCCCACTAGAGGTATTTCCCCTCCTGGAAGCTATGCAGGGCCCTAAATCCCACTATGACTGAGCTAATTCTATAGGAGTTACTAATGTTAATCCCAAAGATGGAAGGTAACCCATTTGGGTTGGAGAAAAACCTCCAACCCGAATCATGGAAGGCAAGCATTTGATTAGAGCAAGGTTTTTTTTGTTGTTGTTGTTGTTGGTTTTTGTTTGTTTTTTGTTTTTTTAAACTAGGGCTGCTTCCTACTAAGGTGGGGCTTGAGATGTCAGTCTTGAATGTGAAGAAGACAAGGCTTTCATACAGTTCAGGGTAGAGAGTTTTTCCGAATGGGACATTTGTTGGACAAAATAGTCAGGATTACAAGAGCAGAAAACTAAGTATAACAAGTCAGCCCCTCCTGAAACAAAGGTAGGGTTGCAAGATACCACGTTTTGAAACAAAGACATGACTCCTGTTTCCTGGAACAGGCAGCACAGAACCATTTGCAGTTAAAGTTACAGGTGGGGCAGAGTGAAATCCTTGCGAAACAGAGGTTTAATAATAAGCAGGAATAAGCCTAGTTCATCTTTACTATAAAATAGCCTTTAAGCCTAAGATAGAGGCAGGCTGGTTCTTCACTTAATCATGATGTGAGTCCATTATAACTCTGTCTAGGGCCTGGGAATACAGAGCAGTTCCCAGAGCTCTTGTCTATCATGCATAAAGCCCTAGGTTCAATTCTCACAACTAAAAACAGAAAACATTCCAATTATTCTGAGAGAGAGAGAGAGAGAGAGAGAGAGAGAGAGAGACAGAGAGACAGAGAGAGACAGAGAGAGAGACAGAGAGACAGAGAGAGACAGAGAGAGAGACAGAGAGACAGAGAGACAGAGAGACAGAGAGACAGAGAGAGACAGAGACAGAGAGGAAGAGAGAGAGAGAGAATGTGCACCAGGATCAGGACCAAACTGTTCATTTTTTAAAACTACAACTTTAATGCCTTTACTCTTAAATGCCCCACGATTTCAGATCCTTCATATTGATTTTTCTAATTCCATTTTACATTTTTTTCTCCTCATAAAATCAATACCACCACCTCAGTCTTTCTTTCCCCTGACCCTGAGAAATATAAACCCATTCCTCGCTCTCCTGGTTTCCCACAGAATATCTAACATGAGCATGACCTGTCAACAATATGCCTTAAATTAATGAAGAGATCCGACAACAAGCCAAACCCTGTGGTTTTGGCCAGAACCTGAATGTCTGTGCAACTGGATGATTCCTCCCCACCCCCAACATGCCACTAGCTTTTCATGAAGGACAAGAAGACATTTTTAGGCATCTTACAAAAGGAATGTTCTGAGAGCCAAGCCTTCTCCTATCAGTTTCCCTTCTCTTCAGTTTCCCAGAGCAAAAGGATAAAAAGCCCGAAGATGCAGCACTCTTAGACTGAGCATTTCCGAGCCCAGGAATAGATACAATTCAAGTGGAAGCTAAACAGCCCAAACCCTTGATAATGTCACCAAAAACAACATAAAACACCCCTTCTTCCTCTTCAGCCCCAAACATGGAGAACAGTCTTGCCTGTTTATGTTCACCCAGCAAATTTAATATTCAACCAGTCTTAATAAGGCACTTCATGTCATTAAAGGAGACCGTGGCCCTGCAGCAGATTCTCAGCGGAAATTAATAAGATCTGACTCCTGGTTATTTCCAGTGGGATGTCTGTTGTTACTATGTATATCTATTAATGTCATCACAGACGAGCTGCCTATTATAACACATCTCCCCTGGGAACCATTGAGTGTTTTAATAATTATGGCGTTATTTATCATTCACAAAGAGCAGAGAAAAAATTCTATCTGTGTAAGACCCTTTCTGTCACAACAAGGACAAAACCAGAAAACATTTGGCCAGGAAATGCACACCCTCACCCCACCCTCTGTCCAGATCCCTGTGGGAATAAGAAAGCTAGTCCAAATTGACTTTAGAAGCAGCCCTGCACTTCTGGTTTGCTTATACATGCTTTCAACTTACCTATGTATCTATAGGTTTTTCCTTTAAAACTTCACCTGGGATACAATGACAAAGACCGATTTCATGGGCAGTTGTTTTACAACCCAAGTTCTCCTCCACAGTGAAACTTGATGGACCTCGTCCAGGGACCCAAAACACCCACACTGGAACCTGATGGACCTCCTCCTACAACAACCAAACCCTGGGATAAGCAATGCCTTCCCCCACCCCCAATTCCATGCTAAAGCAATCTGGAAAGGGTTGCAAGGGCAGAGGCTGGGTTTAAAGGGGTGAGGAGATAAGTGAGACTAGGGTACATGATGAGAAATTCACAAAGAATCTACGAAAAGTGAGTGAGAAAAAAGAGGGGGGAGGGACAGATATAGAGGAAGAGGGAGAGAGGGGGAGGGGGAGGGGAGACAGAGAGAAGAAGAGAAAAGGAATAACATATCATTAACAACAACATAACCGACCTAGGCAAATCAAGATTCAGCCAGGGAAGGAGGAAGCTTTAACGCAGAAACCTTGTGAGCTGCACAAATGATTGCGGTGAGGAGACATGATAGGGCGCACTTGTTAGGCCAGGAGAAGGAAAGCTGTGGGGAAGGCTGTGGAATCGGTCTCGGGAGGCGTGGGAAGAGTTTCATCTCTACACTTCTCTCCTGCACTTCACTTCTCTCCTGCAGCTCTAATTGCTCCCTGCTAATGATTCTTAAGACATTAACTCCGGGCCAAACAAACAAACAAACAAACCACCTAGGAGTGCACATTCTTTCGGGACCTGAATGTCAGACAAATATCAGAAAGCTGAGATCGTCTCACGGAAGATCAATACCCTCTGTCTAATATTGTCCGTGGTCACTGCAGGGCAAAAATAAAAAAGGATCTCAGGAAAGCAGAAAGGAGGATGGGTCAAGCATTCATCAGCAAGCCAGTGCCCCCAGAGAAGCAGAGAGGCTCTGGGAAGCGTAAACACTATTTTCCCAATGAAAAACACAATCCTTTATGAGTGGGTTGTTGGACGGTAGATTCGTGCCATTATCGCGCCATGCTGCACTTCCTGCTTGTATATGAGCTTTGTGTGTCATTTTGTTGTGATAATACTATCTCTATGTGGTCCACTGTTCCCTTTGGGACGATTCTTAGTACCCAAACCCACTTTATTTCACTAACCAGCTCGCAATCTCCTTGCGTCCCATTTTTTCTCTGTGGACACCCAGTCCTCTCCAACAGAACTTTGATGAGGCTTTGTGGATGGTTGTGGGACCGGTGGTCACCAGCAGAGAGGACCCTCAGAACTTCTAGCAGGTCTAGGCTCCCAGCTCTGCTGTTATCTTGAGTGAGGGCTTTGCCGTTCTCAGTAGAGGTAACAATGCTGAGAGAGTGGGACAGTAGCACCATCCACACGGAGAGATTTGTCCAGAAGCACATGTCCACTCTTCGGCTTGACTTGCCGTGGATGTGAGTGGGAGGCTTTGTGCAACCAAAGGGATTCCTATGGTTGAAAGGGAAAAAAAGAAATAAAGACTTCAATGACTGTGCATGCAACATGTTTGAAGTGACTCACTAATTGGATGCCTGAGCCGATTCGCAACAACAGGGGGTCTGGATGTAGCTTATAACCCCAAAGACCAGACCAGACCAAGCAGGAAACTTCCTGCCTCACAGTGGGCAGGAAACTGTGCCTACACTACTCAGTCAAATGGTTAAATGAGGGTGCACTTTGCTTGTCTGCAGCCAGTGCCTGGCACAGGACCCAGAGTTAGCTGCAACCCCATTTAAAAAAAAAAAGTCTGTGCAGTCAGTGGAGAAAATTAAAGAGAAAATGACTTCTAATATACTTCCAATATCACACTGAGTCAGAAGCCTTTGAAGAGGACAAGGTCCTAGAGAAAATTAGTGACGTTCAAGAAACACTAGTTAGCTTTTAGCTTAGTAAAACCATCCACCAAGACACAGGTGAATGAACTATCTCTGAAAAATTTCAAGACCCCAGAAGGATGATAAATCTACTTACGCAATAGTCTGTGAAAGGATGGGAAATCACTTTAGAGTCAATCAGAATTTACAAAGAAAACAGTCTTGAATTGATTGTTTAAAGAGTGCAAAATGTTAATAGCATCTCTTGTAGTATCCAGAGTTGAGCCGATATTGACCCTCGGGTAGTAACGAGATCCTGAGATTATTTTTATGGCTTAAACAACAGTTTCTGACTATTACGTTAGCATTTTTAAAAGGAGACACGGGAACACAGACCTTTCTAAACCCAGCACTTACCTTAAGAAAGGGAAATGGTTATTTATCTTGAGCTCCCTGGGCCTTTAAATTTCTGAGAGCGTTTTGTGGTCCCACAGTTCTCCCGTTTTAAAATTCCTTGACTGTGTGCTGGGAGCTGGAGAGGATTATTTCAGCCCAGAGACATTTCTAGTTGCTATGGCAAGAGCTGCTCAGGAGGTAAAAATGAAGGTGGACGAAAGCGGACAGTTTCTGGCTGACAGATTTTCAGGATAATCAAATAAATGTGCTTGAGGAATTATCCTTTTATATCAACATTTAGCACAGTATTTTAAAATTATCTATAGTCATTTGCCTTCCAAGGGACAGAATCTAGGTCAAAAACAAAAAAATGAAATAAAATTCCACCTTGCAAGATGAAAGAGATTAGTGTTAGATAAGACATTTTCCTGAACAGCAGACCACTGTTTATCACAGGCTTAAACCAAAAATCAACACAAAGATTGGCCCTTTAAAACTTTGTTTTACAACTTGGAAATATTTAAAAGATTCGAGAATGTGATAAATAATAGTTTAAATTAAAAGTACTTGTTGAAGGAACACATTTCTTACCTGAGAAGTAAATAGATACAATTGAGGGACCTGTGCCAATCACCCATTGGGTATGGAAACTGGGCACAGCCAACTGAGGTAACCAGGGTTCAATTTAACTACCCATGTGTACATGGTTTTGTATCAAATGTCAAAGAAATGGATTTGTCCTTTGTCTCAGAAGCACCATGGTGACAGTAACTGGAGATAAAGACCAGACTCACCCAAAAAACAAGGAATTAGACCAAAGTTAAGACTTTCAAACTGAAGGTTGAGCAATAACTGAGGAACCAGGAGGCTTTGGTCTTTAGGCCACAGGACATTGGATCAAACTTCCTGAAGGCATGTGCTCATCACCTGTGGCTGTCCGGAACCACAGTGTAAAAGGCTTGGGTTATCCACGATCAAGAGCTTGGTTAAAAGGCCACTAAAGAAATAATTGTTCACTGCTTGTGCAATATAGCAGGTCTTAATCTCTTCGTTAATTAGTCCCGTTACAGGGAACAGATCATATCATCAGATTCATTCAACTCCCACAGCATAACCTGCCCCATTATTCCAAGACTAGTTTCTGATGTGCTCTGACCACTTCTCTCAAGACCACAGCCTTGCCAGAGCCCTTCCACTCATTCCCTATTCCCTTTAGTCAGTGTCCAAACTGAAAGTCCCACATGGTTTCAAGTTCTCTGACTCAGGGGTGTAGTTTACACCTTTGTGCTCACGCTACCTATTTCCCTAGCAAGCCTAAAATTAATCTTTCTTAAATGTGTTTCCATTTTCAATCCAGACAAATTTCCTGGAAGTGAACTTCATGTGTTTACTAACTCCATAACAAAGGAAATATCTACTTTTGATGGAAATATGTGAGATATTTGGCTCACATTTGGAACCTATCTCATCTGATGCAGCATTTACTAATTTATAGATGCTTATGTGCAGCTTGTATAATTTATATATACAAATTTATTTATGTGATGGTTTGCATATGCTTGGCCCAGGGAGTGACAATATTTGGAGGTGTGGCCTTGTTGGAGTGGGTGTGTCACTATGAGCATGGGCTTTATTACCGTTGTCCTAGCTGCCTGGAAGCCAGTCTTCTGCTAGCTGCCTTTAGAACAAGAGATGGAACTCTCACCTTTTCCTGCCCCAGGTCTGTCTGGAACCTGTCATGCTCTGACCTTGATGATAATGGACTGAACCTCTAAACCTGTAAGCCAGCCCTAATTAAATGTCATCCTTATAAGAATTGCCTTGGTCATGGTTTCTGTTCACAGCAGTAAAACCCTAACTATGACTACATATGTATGTATGTATGTATGTATGTATGTATGTATATTTTATGTTTGTGTAATTTATAGAAGCTATGGTGGAAAGGAGGGACTGAGTCTGGTTGATTATCCCACCATTTAGCCCAGTTATTTGCTCTCTGATATGTCTTGAGCTTCACACGTCTACCAAATGGTGTATTGTCATGTGTTTTACAACAAGAAAGAACTTCAAGGGACTTGTTAAAATGGAAGAGACCAATGATTGAAGATGAGACTCAAGCAAGACTAAGATATCCAGTCCTGGGCTTCTATGTAGGTATCAAGTAAGCAACTGTAGGGACTGAGTCTCACTTCTGAAATAATCTTGGATTTATATATTTATCATGACAGATTTTAAGGCATACAGATGTATGGAGACTCCTGATAATTCATGCAACACATTTTGATCCAATACCATGGCAGAAGATGCTACTCTTCCTGGATACCCAGTTGTTCCTAAGGAGGTATCTCTGGCAATAATCCAGGATCCAATAGCTATGAGCTATTTCTAGACCACTTTCCCCCATATTCACTCTGTGTTGCCTACTTCCCTCTTTCCAAACACTAGCCCTCCTAGATGGCACTTGTGATACTGTCTCTTAATTTTTAGCCTATTTTATGAATAAGTATTGTGCCTGCTTTAGCTTCTATCATGAAACACCAGTTAAATGTTCCAAACTCCTTACAGTACTATTCAGAAATGCTCGGCATCACACAGCTAGTGTGCATCTCCAGAAATCTAAGGCCGTCTGCATCAGAAGTGGTACATGCCCTACCAAGCAACCATTGGTGGCATGTGACCCATAGCTTGTTTGTCTTTTAAGGTTGATTTATTTTTATTTTATGTGTATGTATGTGTATTTGTAAGCATATGTATATGAACCACATGCGTGCAGGTTCCCACAGAGGCCAGCAGAGAGCACCAGATACCCTAGAACTGAGTTCCAGGCTGTTGTGAGCTACCAAGTGTGGGTGCTGGAGCCAAACTCAAGGTCTTCAGAAGAGCAACAAGCTCTCTTAACTGCTGAGCCATCTTCCCTGCCTAGCAGCCATATTTTTTTAAGTTCCCAAACAGCATGTGGATAATAGAAAGAACTAGGATTCAGGCAGCAGATGGTTCCCCTGAGAATATACTGCAGAGGTAACAATACACCATGTTTTAATCTTTGCTTTCTTGCCCCTTCAGCCCAAACATTTTCAGAGAAAGACAATTAGAAGGTAAAAATTTCACACAAATATAAGTTAAGGCCTACTCCATTTGTAATACTTGCTAATCATATTTATTACTGGGTAGTTGAATTAAATAACTTTCTTTTTCTAAATATATGTGTTAGCTTTCATCATTATAATGAAATATTAAGAGAACAACTTAATAGAGAACAATTTATCTTTCCTCACAGTTTCATTGTTACTTGGTTCCATTGTTCTGGGCCTGTAAGTGGTAAATGGGGTAAAACCTGGCAGCCCCATGTAGCTATGAGCTCAACAGAGTAATCCACTGATGAGGTCAGCATGCTCATCACCTAGTTACATCTCACCAGCAACAAGACCACCACACCTCCTTATGAGCCTGTAGAGCCATTCCAGGCTATAACAGAGTATGAACCCACTATACAATCAAACAGGGAGTGCTACAGGCAGCGATTAGGCATGTACACCCCTCTGTGACATTGCAAAGTCATAGCATTTCCAGTACTTAGAAAACTGTTGGGATGTATGGAATTTAGCTTTATGAATTGCCTTTCCTTTGGAAGCTGATAGTAAATGATAAAGGAAAACAAAAGCTAGAAATTTTATATGAGACTCTCTAACAGTGTTTCTTTCCCATGTGGAAATTAGGCATGGTTACAAATTAAAATTTGTAAAAGAAAAACAACAACAAAACCAAACAAACCATAACCAAATGAGTAGGTTAAAAACCATCAATTATTCAACAAAGATAAAAAGCAAAGATAAAAGAGATTATTTGAGATAGTTTGGGTCTTCACTCTTTGCTCCTTTAATGCAATTTCAATTATATATCTATTTCTGTGTTCACTCTTTGTTTACCGCATTATATCAGTCTTGTTAGACGTTGCCTGCTTTACCTTGTATGATATGTATCTGTCATCTTGAAGGTTCGCTTCTCAGAGAATGTAGCGTGCTATCCATGTTACTCATTGAGTTGCTGGCTGCCATCTTTGGAACTTAGAGTAAAACCAATAAACGCCCATTTCTGTGAAAGCACTTTTCAGCTTTTTCACTGATTTGAGCCAAATGTCAACCCAAGTACAGCTTGAGGCAACAATGACGCGTCTTGCCATCTTTTTGCAACACTGTTTCTTCAAGTGACATTTTCAGGCAAAGGAAAAACTTGCAAAAACAGAAAGATGGTGTTAGGAAGAGTAGTGCTTTCAATTTCACAGCTACTGTCTGAGTCACTGGGAATGAGCCTCCACATAAGCAAGGTCTGCTCTGGGTTTCAGTATGACAAACTGACGTGAAATAAGTCACAGGAGATGCATGACTTAAGCCACAATCTTTGTGGTCCAGGAATCCTCTGCTTCATGGTGTCAACATTTTCAGCAAGGGCTGGGGTTACTTTGAAGGCTTGCCTACATGGGGTCCCCTTTCAAGCGTACATGAGTGTTAGCAAATGGTAGAATCTAGTTGGAGTATCATCTGCATTATAGTGGTTAAAGGTGAATCGTGGCCCTATTCATACTTGACGGACTACCACAGGCTCCAGCTCACCAAAAACATATTTAGGGCTATAAGGTGCTACAGGCAGATTGGTAAGATGTTACAAATCGATGAACATTCCAAGAGAGCATGTTTCTCACCCGTGGCCTTTCCTGGAGTGGGGATGGGTAAGGCATTGCAGCATCGCTTGATGATCATACTCCAAGTTTACCCACTGTTAAATGCCCTGGGTTAGTTGCAAATACCACCAAAATATAGCTTAACATTAATATTTATAGAGAATCCTTAGTAATCAAGTAAAATATTGGGAATAGTTTTCTGATTTAATTAGGTCTCATTTGCTTGGTCCTAAAATTAAAAAAAAAAATCTATTTCATACCCCTTTGTAAGTCTCCAGCTCCAGAGACAGCTCAGTCGGTAACGTGCTTGCTGCATGAGCACAGGGTCTTTGAGTGTGAGCCCCAGAAATCACTGAAAAACTAGATATGGCAATGTACTTGTAAGGCAGAGCTGGAAAAACAGGCAGGAAAACTGGACTTGCTGGCCATCAGCTAGCAAATTTCAG